CTGTATATAGCTTCTCTCGTGGTCTTAGACCATTGAATAATGATAAGGATGTTTTACAGTTTTTAAAAGATGTTGTAGGATATGATGTAATAGATGTGTATGCGAAGCATAATATAGGGATACACGAGATTATTGATGATAGTGAAGTCAATGCTAACATTGAGAATGATAGGGAAAATGATGTACAATGTACAGGGTTTAAGAGCACAGATGTTAACATTGAGGCTGATTGAGAAGATGTTGTGCAGGATAATAATGATGAAGTTGTAGGAGATACTAATGTTGGTGAAGATAAGACTGATGAAATTGTAGGAGATACTAATGTTGATGAAGCTGTAAGAGATACTAATTTTGATGATTCTAGAGAATATAGAATGAATGATGATTATGTTGCAAGTGAGAGTAGTTTTGAGGATAGTGAGTTCCATTTTAGTGAAGACTCAAATGTGAGTGAGATGAATTGGACTAAGGTTCTTCCCAAAGAGACATTAGGTGAGGTTGCTAGCTGCCAAAAGAATGTAGATCAGGCTGAGATGGTCTATGATGAAAGTGGGGACTCAGACCATTTATATACACCCCCTAGAAGTGATGATGAGGAGGGACTCAAGTTTCCTACACATAAATCTAGTGAGGGGATGAATTTTCAACTAGGCATGATGTTTTATAACAAAGATGTCATTATGGATGCAATCAAGGAGTGTGGGATAAAAAATCAGAAGAATGTATTCATTAAGAAAAATGACTCCAAAAGGGTTGTGGTGAAATGCACTGATGGATGTAACTTCTATGTGAGATTTAGTAAAAGAATTGGTAACCGATTTTGGCAAGTTGTGAGTTTGATTGAAGAACATACATGTCATAAGACTGCTGACAATAGAAGTGCAAAGACCAAGTGGCTTGTCAAAAAGTTTGTCGACATTCTTAGACATAGTCCCAATATGAAATCAACAAGCCTCATAGCTGAAATAATTGACAAATGGGGAGTGAAATTATCCCATAACCAGGCATATAGGGCCAAAAGGAAAGCAATGAAGTTGACTCAAGGGGGTGGTATTGAGAAATTCTCTCATTTGAGATCTTATAAGTAAGACATATTGAAATCAAACCCTAATAGTACTGTTGTAATACAATGTGGTGATAGTAATGGAAATTATTCTGGACTGAGCCTGTGGCTGACCTAGTGTCGAGCACAACCTAACCCAGTTCTACGTTAGGACGACCCAGAATGCTGGCCCAACCTGTTGGGGCCAGTAGGAAGCACATTCTCCACGTGTTCCTCACCCAAGGACACGTCACAAACTGACCTGCACACCTTGTGGAACCATTCTGACCTTTGTGACGGGCAAGTCCGTCCACTAACCGGGGAATGCGGAACGGTTGGCCCAGGACGGTGAACACAAGTTGCTCATCCCTACCTCCACGTAGGAATCCTGGCAGTCATACGTTATGGGATCAGACACTCAGCCCATAACAGAGACCATCGACCCAGCGCCGGGGGCTCACTATAAAACTCTCATCTGCAGGAGGGTCGTGTATTTTATTCTCTAACTCTTTCTTGCTACCTCTTCACCTGAACTAACTTAAGCATCAGAGTGTCTACATGTACACCCCTTCTCTCGACGACCATTCCTACTGCAGACGTGTTGTTGGCCACTCATTCTGATCGACAGGTTAGATTAGAAACCATGTATTTGAAAGAATGTATATGTATTTAAAAGCTTGCAAAATAGGTTTTGTAAAGATATGTAGGCCACTAATTAGGTTAGATGCATGCTTCTTAAAAGGAGATTATGGTGGTCAGTTGATATCAACAATAGGGAGGGATGTAAGTAACCATTTTTTCCCAATAACATGTGTTGTAGTAGCAGCTGAAACAAAATAAACATGACAATGGTTTTTAGACCTTCTTTTGTATGATTTGGAAGGTTACAATCAGAGGTCTTATTCATTTATATCATATCAACAAAAGGTAATTGTTTACATTTGATTTTAAACTTACAATTTTATCAATTGTCATTTGTTTTTACATATACATTTTTATCATTTTTCATTTGATTTTACGCTTACAGGGACTTGTTCAAGCTGTTTAAGGCATTAATGCCAATGTGGAGTGTAGATTGTGTGTTAAGCATTTGTATGGCAATTGGAAGAAGAGACACCCTGAGTTGGAATTCCAGGAAGTTCTTTGGGCAACAACAGTTCTTGCTTAGGAAAAGGCAATATTGAAAATGAAAGCAATGAAAGCAGAGACGTGGAAGGATATGATGTAAGTCCCTGTTAGCCATTAGAGCAGATCGCACTTTAACACTTATTCAAAATGTGATTTACAGGTCAACAACATGTGTGAAGCATTCAATAAGGAAAGTCTAAAGCATAGGGAGAATCCTATTATCACCCTATTGGAAGGCATCAAGCATTACATCACCAAAAGGATTGCAAGTCAGAAGGAATTGCTACAGGGCTACACAAGATCCATATGCCCTAAAACTCAGTTGGTACTTAAGAAGAATAATAAGCAAGCACAAGGGTAAAGTCTTACATGGCATGGTGATGATGACTTATCCATATTTGGTGTCAACAATGGCATTGATGCTTATTGTGTTGATCTGAAGAAGGAAACTTGCTCATGTATGAAGTAGAAATTGAATGGTATACCTTGTTGCCATGTAATTGCATACATATGGAACATCAAGAAAAAACTTGAGGACTATATTGTTACGTGTTATAGGTTAGACTTAAGTACTATATCTATTTACTTCTTATGTTAAGTATTATTGTATGAATTTTTAACTATTGTGGTTGGATTTTGTTTTAAATAGAAAATCAACATTTATGGAAACTTACTCCCATATTGTGTTTTCAACCAATGGACCACAATTGTGGCATGTAGTTGATGTGAGTAAAGTGGCACCACCTGTTATGAGAAGAGCTATTGGAAAGCTAAAAAATAGACAAACAAAACAAATGATGAACCTAGACATCCTCACATTCTTCCAAGGAAGTTTTCAACTGTCACATGAGCAAAATGTGGTGCTATGGGACATAACAAGAGGACCTGTAAGGGAAAAGGGCATCAGAAAGGGCTATTCCAAAGGGTAGGAATAAACCAAAGAAGGCTAGGAAAATGAATGCTAAGAAAGTGAAGGCTAACTCTAAATAAAAACAAACATAATTTGGTCAAAGTTCACAAGCTCCTCAACAAACTCAAGAGTAGTGTCCTCTAGGTTTAAATTGTTGTAACATAGTTTCTTTTTTACTCAACTTGTGTCTTGAGTGTTATTTTGGTTGATATTTTGGTTAAACAATGTTAAAGTCATGGGATAGTTATTTTGGTGTAATGCAAACAAATATGTTACTGTCAAACATTGTTATTGTCAAGCAATATATAAGTATGTTTATGGAAAATTATAAGTATGTTTACTTTGGTGTATGTTGCAGACTACTATAAGCAATATATGTTACTGTCAAGCAAATTATAAGTATGTTTATTCTGGTGTATGTTACAGACCACTATAAGCAATATATGTTATTGTCAAACAATATATAAGTATGTTTATTCTGGTGTATGTTGCAGACTACTATAAGCCATTTTGTCAACTTATAGATCCACTGTCAAATTATAAGACATGGTAATTGTTATGTCAAATTATACGTGCACAGTCAAATTATAAGGCATGATAATTGTTATGCCAAATTATAGGTCCATTGTTAGGTCAAATTAAAATCCATTGTAAATTATAAGCCATTGTTATAAGTTAAATTATAAGCCATTGTTATAGGTCAAACTATAAGCCATTATTAGGTCATTGTTATGTAAAAATGATAGGTCGATAACATTAATACAATAACATGAATACCATAACATTAACTTTCCACAATTACATCAATGTTATGTCAAATTACAAAGAACATTACAAATAACATCATCATATCAATCCAAGGTAACCAATACACCAACCATCACACCATCCGTCAACATACAAACATAATCAACTATATCCTATTTCATAATTATTGTTCCAACAAATGCAAAGAACATTAGAAACAACAAAATCCAGGTAATCTTCAACTGTTTCTTTAGGATCTCCACCTTCATCTTCAATTCGTCCTCCTTTATTTTGTATCAGTTTCCTTCTCCTCATTCAAGTTCTTTAGCATTGAAGAAATTATTTATTTTGCCAAGCAAAGTGAATGCATTTCCTTATCTAACCAAGCAAAGTGAATACATTTTTTGTATCCTTGAATCTTATACATCACACAACCATAGAAATGACGACTTGGGTTCGCATCCGTCCATGTCGTCATCAATGGAGCGACAAGACCACACTTGCATACATATCTTGAACGACTTGAGGACCAGCTTCCATGGCTACAATCGGACAACTGAGACATTTTAATAGAAAAATTTGATGTTAACTTGAAGAAATTGATTGAGAAGACGAAGAACAATGGCACGGAAAAGAAAAAGACGAAGAACAATGGAAAAGAGAAAGAGAAAGACAAACTTTTAATCTAGTATCCATAATTTATAAATAATTATAATAATGTTATATGTAATTAAAAAATATAACATGAAAAATATTTGGTGACATAAAAAACATATAAGACTACCACCTTATTCAAAAAAAAAATGACACATCATTAAAATTGTACAAAGAATCAAATAAATTAAAAATGGATCTAAGTTAATAGAGAATCTATTGGTTAAATTGTCACACTAAAAGCCCATTTATATACAAATAAAACTTGTTGTGGTTGAAGAGTCAAAGTCAAAAAGCAGTACCAAATATAATAACACGAGAATTAGTTCCGCGCTCGTAACTGATTTGCCACGAATCTCGATTCTTCTAATTCACACTCTTCTTCACTCTCACTTCCATTTTCATTCACATTCTATTCATGCATCACTAATAACATGACCGCACCGACACTCTCTCACGCGCCACCACATAATTTTTACAACAACGAGCAGCTTCACCGCCGGTGACTCCACCGACGACATGTTTCAGGACTCCAAAGTCTCTCATCTCCGCTGCGCCCTCGTTACGGCGCTCTTCTTCGCCACCGTTTCTCTTTCTTGCTTAATTCTTCTCAGAGACGTTGATTCCTACCGATTCTTCTCTGGATTCCCTTCCTCTTATCATCTCGCTCGTTTTTCTACCTTTTTTCCGTTGGTGTCGAATGATCTCGCTGTGGTAAGTTCCGTCTTCTCTCTACTTGTGCATCGCATCTTTTTTTTCCTTTCTAAATCGAGTTATAGCGGTTTGTGCATCGTGTTGTTTTCGTGTGCTTGCTGCATTGTGTTATCGATTGAAGAGCAATTTGAAGCTTAATTTTCTCTAGTGTATGCATTTGATTATAATGTAGTTGTTGTGTTACCTCAAACGGCGTTTCAAGTTTTGGTATCCTCACTGTGTTATTTTATTGACTGTGATCTGCAATTTAAGCTCTAATTTCTTATGAGAACTTCAATATTCTGTTAGACATTGTCTTTTGAAAAGTGTGTTTTATGCTCATCGACATCTATGAAGAAAGTCGTAGGTGTGTCCGAGTTCAACACGACTTACAAGTCATTGAGTCCAATTTATTCAATTTTTTTATTCAAATTATTACTGATGTCCCGTGTTAGTGTGTCTGAAGTCCTTGTGTGCGCTTCATAGGTTTCATGCTTAAACTCTAGACACGGGAGAGATTTGTAAAATCTTTAGTATTATAGTACTAATTTTGGACCAAAATTTGGTTATTTAGTGGTTGTTGTACTAATTTTGGACCAAAATTTGGTTATTTTTAGTGGTTGTTTGGTAATCATGAGGGGGTTTGTAAAATTCACATTGATTTGTAGATTTTGTTCAACTCCCCTTGATACTAAACATGCACTAGCCCTCTGCAGTTGATATCTCCTTAAATTCAATGGGATTGCGTGGATCTGAGGTAGTTAGATTTGATAAAATTGAAATTTCAGCTAGATCTTTCCCAAGCATTAACCAAAAAAGATTGACGATGTGATGATGAGCTATTTTTGATAATTGTTAACCTACACAATGGACAGGGAGAAACATTTACACTAACCGTGTGTGATTTCTTCACTGTTGATATGAATTGTGGGTCAGTATTACAAAATATGAATAGACTGTGATCTCTGCTAGAAGCGATGGTTGTTTCATAGTTATAATTCATTATTTATTTAGTTTCATAATAAGCATCAGCATGACCATAACCTGCATGAAAGTTTTGTTACCATTTTACCAGGAGAGTATCTTGATGCTGATCTGCTGCCCCGATGGAGGGATTACTTATTTTACTGTCGTGGTTAATCTGTGCATTTGTCCATGAAAAAGGTAAATTTAATCGACTCTTCTGCAGACTAGCAATGAATATCCGCTTGAAAAAATCTTGAATGACGCTGCCATGGAAGACAAAACTGTTATCTTGACCACGTTAAATGAAGCATGGGCAACTCCAAATTCTGTCATTGATCTTTTTCTTCAGAGCTTCAGAATAGGAGATCGTACTCGTAGGCTTTTGAACCATTTGGTAATTGTTGCATTGGATCAAAAGGCATTTGCACGCTGTCAGGTTATACATACCCATTGCTTTTCTCTTGCTAGTAAAGAAGCTGATTTTCATGAAGAAGCATACTTTATGACTCCTAGCTACTTGATGATGATGTGGAGAAGGATTGATTTCTTGCGTTCTGTTCTTGAGATGGGATACAATTTTGTGTTCACGGTATTCTTTTCATCACTAATCTCTTCAAGTTCACTAGAACATAGTTATGTAAGCCTTATGTTTGTTTTTTTCTTTTTCATCTGCCACGAGCAAAATTCTCTTAAGTTCAATGTTTATTGCTATTGGGATGGATTTTTGTAGATAATTGTGGTTAATAAAGGGATATTTGTCTGTTAAATGAATGAGTTACGTATGTTGAGTCAATTTTGTATCCTATATGATATACTTTTTCAGTATTTTACATGTAGAGAATATACTTGATTATAGCAACATAAGTCCATTTTGTTCACTTTTTTTTAGCCAAGCTATGGAGCATGATACATTTTTTTAGAAATTTGATAAAGAAATGTAAAATTTGATAGTGGAGGCTGTGAATAAAATGGAAGCTCGTTTTTCCCTATCTTGGGAATTATCTTTGATAATTGAACAAACCATTCTTTCCCCTCCATCTTCTTTTTTTTTTTCCTTTCTCATTTCCAGCCATTACAGTGTAGACACAGTAAAAATTGAATGTATGACGAACCCAAGGATTTTTCATAACTTTGACTTGCGAGTTGCTGTTGAACTGTTGTAGCAATAATAACTAACTTTTGCATTTGTCATTAAATTTACCAATAATAGCAAGTTATTATTGCTGCATATTTATGGCTTTGTATTTTATTGTTTCTGTTATTATTATATCTTCCTAAAATCGATGTTATTAGAAGTTATATAAGAAGCTATGTACATTTCTAAGCTCTCTTGTTTAGAAGCTTACTATGGTGTTCCTCTTCCAGGATGCTGATATTATGTGGTTTAGGGACCCATTTCCGCAGTTTTATCTTGATGCAGATTTCCAGATAGCGTGTGATCATTTCACAGGTAGCTCTGATGATGTACAGAACAGACCCAATGGAGGATTCAACTTTGTAAAGTCCAATAATAGATCAATAGAGTTTTACAAATTCTGGTACTCTTCTCGAGAAACTTATCCCGGATACCATGATCAAGATGTCCTTAACTTCATCAAGGTTCACCCTTTCATTGCTGATATTGGACTGAAGATGAGATTTCTGGATACAACTAATTTTGGTGGGCTTTGTGAACCTAGTAAGGATCTAAACCAGGTTTGTACGATGCATGCAAATTGTTGCTTTGGTATGGATAGCAAGCTTCACGACCTTCGGATTATGCTTCAGGATTGGAAACATTATTTATCATTACCTCCAAGTTTGAAGAAACTGTCAGTTGTTTCCTGGAGGGTTCCTCAAAAATGCAGGTTGGCCATATGCTTGAGCATTTCTATTCATAATCTTACCTTGATTTTTATTAACCATTCTGAAAATACTCTTTATTATTATTCATTGCTTTAATGTTTTCTTTCTGGGTTGCAATTTCTCCTCAGCCTTGATGCTCTCAGGAACGATGGTTCACCAGAGGAAAATGATTAAATGTAGAAGTTCAACGGTACTCTAGGATGAAAAGGTTCGATATAAGGTTAATGATCAACATTAATGTTTTGTTGCATGTGTCACATTTAAATGTGGAAGTTCAACGGCACTCTGGGATGATAAGGTTTGATGTAACATTGAATTAGGAAATTGATTTTTATAAACCAGAGTCTCTAGGAAGAATATTTCACACACTAAAGAACACTTTGGCAATGTGAAAGATGTAGCATGCTGTTCAATTAATTGATTTTAAGTGTTCCCTAAATTAATTCGTCTGTGCTTTGCACAATTCTGTGCAGCATTTTGTTGTATATTTATTTAACTATGCACTTAGGGATTAAATTGGTGATTTGCTTCTAACTTGATGATCTAACATTCTATTCACTTGACAGTGATCCATTTGATAGCAAGACATAACTTAAGTCAGAATATCAAAGGGAAACTCAAGCTCTTCTTAAGGAAGTGCGAAAGATCATTATAAGAGTTATGATAGAGTAAAAAGACTTTCCAATATATAGAAAAACAGAGAGGGGTTGTGTAAGATGGATTTGGGGTGTAGTGAGAAGATAATTTTTTAGCTTATTTTTCGAGTTGTATTGGGCTTGAGTTTTACTTGTGATGATATGCTCCCTAATGTTAATATGGTTCAATTATTGTTAACTTGACGAATTGTATAAGGAGAAAAACCCATTTAGGTAGAGAAATGAACCATATTACTGATTTTTTATTCACAATAAACTAGAATTACCTATATGTACATTCACCACTAGGAACTAAAGAGAGAAATAATCAATAACAATCTAACACTAAATGATGACTAATTGTAACAGAAAACAGTTAAAGTTAATAGTTTGTAAGACTAATATCTCTCTAAGTATATATATAAAATATTTCTAACTTAAACAAAATGGAAGAAAGAGGCGGACTATGTAAAAATTTAGTAAAAACATCAGCTAGTTATGACGTGCTAGAAATAGGGGGAAGGGAAAAGATGAATGCGTGTTGATTTAAGCTTCTCTTCCTAATGACATGACAAACCAATTCTATGTACGTACTTCTCTTATGAAAGGTTGAATTATGAGCCAATTATATAACTGACTTGTTATTACAGTAAATGGAAACAGGTTTAGAAAATTGCACTTGAAAGTTTTAGAACATGAAAATCTCAGAACAAGTAATCTAACCATTGAATTTCACATGTCAAAGATGGCGATGACAAGGTTCGATACTCAACCATTGTAGAAGATCTAGATTCCGTGGTTTGTTAAATTTTTAAAATATGAGAGAAGAACCAAACACCACATAATAACTTGTGGTTGACTTTGACTGTTGCAATAGTTCAATGATGGTATTATACCGCTCTTTAGTAAAATCAAATTGAATGGAAGTAGATTCATGTGAAGGAGAATCCATATGTGTTGAATTCTCATTAGAAACAACGTTGGCCTGAAAATTTTGTTGATTTTTCTCTTTAGGTTTGTAACCTGCAGGAAATCATGTTTTTGAAAACATGTATAAACTAAATGATTGGTTCAATGTGTGCACACACATCTTTAGTACTTTTTGAAAAATTGCCTTGTGAGTTATTCTTTCCTTGCTAAAACGAAATAACTTTTAAAGTAGTAGTAGATTTAAATTGCTCATTATTGGAAGATGCAATAATTGATCCAGTTAATTCATATTCTTATTGTACAATAAGTTTTTATTATTATCAATATCTCGTAATGGATTCATAATCATAATCCCAAAACACTTTCAACCCTGTAAGTAATTAGAAACATTGTCTCTTGACGGAACTTGTACAACTGCAATATTGATCTAGAGAACAAATTTTGCAATTGATGCATAAATTTAATGATGAATCCAAGCGAGAACTGTTGTGTTGCAACGGATCCAATGCCTCTCCAATGGACTACAAACTGAAGGTTTGGAAAGTAATCCATCAATAAAGTTTTCTTTATTCTTAAAAATCAATGCAATGTACATTCACATAAACTAGGTATGACATTCTTATCTAAAGGAATAACTAGAACCAAAGTCGGACTCTCTTTTGAATGTAAATAATAAGGATTTCCAAAGTTTGTAGAAAAATCAATGTAGTTATGATCTTCCATTGTTATGAGAGAAAAGAGAAACAAATTGTAAGAATCAAGTGAATAAAAAAGTAGAGATTCAAAAAAAGACTGTGGAGGCCAATTTTAGAAATGGTGAGTTAGATGCAGAGATGCATTCTAGAATAATTTCTGAAATTTTAGTTTGATTAATTGTAATGGAATGAGATACAATTATTTATAGAGATCTTAATGTACAGTTACCAAGGGATAGCATACACCTTTGTAGTTGAATATAATTAACCCTAGAAAGTTAAAATAGATGTCATGGGTGGCATAGCCCTGAGTAACCGAAAGAAAACAAGAATAAAAAATAAGGCATCATACATTTAACTCTTACACCCTCACAAGATCAAGGTAGGTTGAGCCTACATTTATCTTGTTTGTAAACTCAAGAAACTTAGCAGAAGGTACGGGCTTTGTAAAGATTAATTTTATGCAAATCACCAAGCACAAACACATGAACAACTCACTATGTCAAAAAAAATCTTTAGCAGTGTTTTTTTTTTGCCTTTAGCAGCGCTTAGTAAAGACAACGTTTTTTTTATGGAAAAAACGCTGCTAAAGGCTCCCTTCAGCAACGCTTTTAGCAGCGTTTCTAAAGCGCTGCCTATTCCCCCTTTTCCTCCCTTCAGCAACGCTTTTAGCAGCGCTTTTTTCACCCTATAACAGCGCTTTCCCCTCCCCCTTTAGCAGTGCTTTCTAAAGCGCTTTCTTTGACCCCCCTATAGCAGCGCTTTTTTAAAGCGCTTTCTTAGACCCCCCCTTTTCCAACCTATAGCAGCGCTTTTTTGGCCTCTCTTTGCCCCCTTTAGCAGTGTTTTTTTTTAAAAACGCTGTCTATTCTTCACGATTTTAATTTTTTTTAAAAATAATCACATTTTTTTATATATTTTTCGATAAACCTGCTTATAACAATTACATTCCCTACTTATAATTCAGGTCTTTAATTCAACAGTTTGACCTTATATATAACAATTACTTTGTATTCATCACTTTGCCCATAACCATTTTAATACACATAAACCTGCTTAAATATATTACAACATCACAAATACATTCAATTTACAACATCACAAATACATTCAATTTACAACATCACAAATACATTCAATTTACATATAATTACAAATTCGATAACTTTACAAATAGATACGTTATACAATTCTCAACTCAAGAATAAATTGACACCAGTCCTCCTTAATTTCTTCCAATCTTGCTTTCGAGTAAGTACCGCACTTGTATTCATCAAAGTACTACATAATATAACAGAACATGTGCGATTTAATTTTAAAACTAATTACTCAGATGAAATATCGGTTAATTATCAAAATGAATCATATAACTTATGAATTGATCCATACTGTTGCGGTGGAAATAGGATATCAAATTATTAATTAATTTGAATCACAATTCAGTTCACAACCGCTCTTTGATTTATCCGAAGGAAAAGGTCAAAAGAGGGAAAACCTATTTTGCATCGTAAACACAATGCGGGGAAAGATCTAGGGTTCGGGGGTTGGTTAAATTTAGGGAAGGTATTAGCACCCTAAACTTCTGTAGTACTCTACAAGAACCTTTTGTTCAAATGTTTACTATTTGCTTTATTTATTTGCTTAAGGTATATGTACAAAGGATTAGAAGTGAGAAAAGAGACTGTTGCGGTGGAAATAGGATCACAAACTATTAATGAGTTTGAATCGCAATTCAATTCACAACCGCTCTTTGATTTATCCGAAGGAAAAGGTCAAAAAGGGAAAACCTATTTTGCATCGTAAACACAATGCGGGGAAAGATCTAGGGTTCGGGGATTGGTTAAATTTAGGGAAGGTATTAGCACCCTAAACTTCTGTAGTACTCTACAGGAACCTTTTGTTCAAATGTTTACTATTTGCTTTATTATTCTTAAGGTACATGTACAAAGGGATTAAAAGTGAGAAAAGAGACCTAAGGGGTTAATTCTAAGTTTACTCGGCAAGACATCGCATCTTGTGCCTACGTATCCTTACGGAAGTGGAATCAGAGTAATCGTAGTTCCCCTCAAAAGGGAGGTTAGAAACGTCTTGACTGTGGCCAAGGTTTCAATGGGGAATAAACATGTCTTAAGGACACGCTTACGCGGAGTGTAGAAACTCCAATATCTACGTTGTAAATTGTTAAGTTGTAATTAGGGTTAAATTAGGTTAGGTTAGGGATTCCACGGCGGGAAACCCTAAAATGAGCGCGGCGGCTCTTTGACCTAATGCTAGGGGTAAAATTGTAATTTTGCCTGCGGCGAGGCATTTGTGAAAATTTAGGGTTGAAAAGGTGTAAGGGTTGAAGGTGAGGACTATTGACACGGCGGTCAAACGGCTAGACCTAATTCCTTCGGAGGAGTGAGATTATTGGTAAAGACGCGATAAACATACAATGGCAGAACATAAAGTGCGGAAAGATAAATGCGACAATTGTCTCGCAAAATTACACCCCATAAGCAGTTACAAATATGATAATTGAATATTTAAACTGAAAATAAAATCAATTGAACTTAGTCAGCTGCAAAAAACTAAAACAAACAGAGACTGTTATTATACGGGGTTAGACGAAAAATTAGACAGGAATGTTAGGAATTTAAGTAGAAAATTATAATTAACGAAACAAGAAAAAAATTAGAAATTTGGATCTTAAAAATGAGGATGTTAGCGAAAAATTAATAAACAATGAAAATTAATATGCAAAGAAGATGGCGATAATATACAAGTGATAATGGAATATGAAATAGCAACGATGATGTCAGATTATGTACAAATATAAAAATAAATACAAAAATAAATAAATAAATATTAGTGAACAGGTTCATGGATAATCAATAATACTGTTAGGAATGAAGGATGAAAATTGGAATTGACG